ATCTACATTTGAAACTGTGTATGGAGTCAGCCTCCACCACATCACTGCCTAATGCATTCCATCTGTTAACTACTTTGACACTGAAAAAGTTCTTTCTAACGTCTCTGTGGCTCATTTGGGCACTCAGTTTCCACCTGTGTCTTCCTACTAATGTTAAATAGATTGTCTTTATCTACCCTATCGATTCCCTTGAGAATCTTGAATGTGGTGATCATGTCCCCCCCCTAACTCTTCTGTTTTCCAACGAAGTGAGGTTTAATTCCCGTTGTCTCTCCTCGTAGCTCATACCTCTCAGCTCGGGTACTAGTCTGGTGGCAAACCTTTGAACCTTTTCCAGTTTAGTCTTATGCTTGACTAGATATGGACTCCATGCTGGAACCGCATACTCCAGGATTGGTCTGACATATGTGGTATATAATGTTCTGAAAGATTCCTTACACAAGTTTCTAAAGGCCGTTCTTATGTTAGCCAACCTGGCATGTGCTGCTGCTGTTATCCTCTTGATATGAGCTTCAGGGGACAGGTCTGGCGTGATATCAACTCCCAGGTCTTTCTCTCTCTCTGACTCTTGAAGTATTTAATCTCCCAAATGATACCTTGTATCTGGTCTCCTGCTTCCTACCACTATCTTCATTGTGTACTCACCTATTTGTACTCACCTATTTGTGCTTGCGGGGGTTGAGCTTTGGCTCTTTGGTCCCGCCTCTCAACTGTCAATCAACTGGTGTACAGATTCCTGAGCCTACTGGGCTCTATCATATCTACATTTGAAACTGTGTATGGAGTCAGCCTCCACCACATCACTGCCTAATGCATTCCATCCGTTAACTACCCTGACACTGAAAAAGTTCCTTCTAACGTCTCTGTGGCTCATGTGAGTACTCAGTTTCCACCTGTGTCCCCTTGTTCGCGTCCCACCAGTGTTGAATAGTTTATCCTTGTTTACCCGGTCGATTCCTCAGAGGATTTTGTAGGTTGTGATCATGTCTCCCCTTACTCTTCTGTCTTCCAGTGTCGTAAGGTGCATTTCCCGCAGCCTTTCCTCGTAACTCATGCCTCTTAGTTCTGGGACTAGTCTAGTGGCATACCTTTGGACTTTTTCCAGCTTCGTCTTGTGCTTGACAAGGTACGGGCTCCATGCTGGGGCCGCATACTCCAGGATTGGTCTTACATATGTGGTGTACAAGATTCTGAATGATTCCTTACACAGGTTCCTGAACGCTGTTCTGATGTTAGCCAGCCTCGCATATGCCGCAGACGTTATTCTTTTTATGTGGGCTTCAGGAGACAGGTTTGGTGTGATATCAACTCCTAGATCTTTCTCTCTGTTCGTTTCATTAAGTACTTCATCTCCTATTCTGTAGCCTGTGTTTGGCCTCCTATTTCCACCACCTAGTTTCATTACTTTGCATTTACTCGGGTTGAACTTCAACAGCCATTTGTTGGACCATTCTCTCAGTCTGTCTAGGTCATCTTGTAGCCTCCTACTATCGTCCTCAGTTTCAATCCTCCTCATAATTTTTGCATCATCGGCAAACATTGAGAGAAACGATTCTATACCCTCTGGAAGATCATTTACATATATCAGAAACAGTATAGGTCCAAGGACTGACCCCTGCGGTACTCCACTCGTAACGTCTCGCCAATCTGAGACCTCACCCCTCACACTGACTCGTTGTCTCCTGTTACTTAGGTATTCCTGTATCCAACGGAGTACCTTCCCTTTCACTCCAGCCTGCATCTCCAGTTTTTTCGCTAGCCTCTTGTGTGGCACTGTGTCAAAGGCTTTCTGACAATCCAAAAATATGCAGTCTGCCCACCCTTCTCTTTCTTGCCTTATTTTTGTTGCCTGGTCGTAGAATTCAAGTAACCCTGTGAGGCAGGACCTGCCATCCCTGAATCCATGTTGATGCTGTGTTACAAAGTTCTTTCGCTCCAGATGTTCCACTAGCTTTCTTCGCACAATCTTCTCCATCAACTTGCATGGTATGCAGGTTAGGGACACTGGTCTGTAATTCAGTGCCTCCTGCCTATCCCCTTTCTTGTATATCGGGACTACGTTAGCTGCTTTCCAAATTTCTGGCAGTTCCCCTGTTGCCAGTGATTTGTTATACACCATGGAGAGCGGGAGGCACAGTTCTTCTGCTCCTTCCTTTAGTATCCAAGGGGAGATTCCATCTGGACCTATAGCCTTTGTCACATCCAATTCTAGTAAACACTTCCTTACTTCCCCGCTGGTAATCTCAAACTCTTCCAGTGGTTCCTGGTTAGCTATTCCCTCTCTTATCTCTGGGATTTCTCCTTGCTCCAAGGTGAAGACCTCCTGGAATTTCTTATTCAGTTCCTCACACACTTCCTTGTCGTTTGTAGTGAATCCTTCTGCCCCTAACCTTAATTTCATAACCTGTTCCTTTACTGTTGTTTTTCTCCTGATGTGGCTATGCAGCAATTTAGGCTGAGTCTTTGCCTTGCTTGCGATGTCATTTTCGTATTGTCTTTCTGCCTCTCTTCTCATCCTAACATATTCATTCCTGGCATTCTGGTATCTTTCTCTGCTCTCCAGTGTCCTGTTATTCCTATAGTTTCTCCATGCCCTTTTACTTTGCTGCTTAGCTAGCCTACATCTCTGATTAAACCATGGGTTTCTCATCTTCATTTCACTGTTTTCCTTTTGGACTGGGACAAACTTGTTTGCTGCATCCTTGCATTTTTGCGTGATGTGTGTGTGTGCGTGTGTGTGTGTGCGCGTGTGTGCATGCGTGCGTGTGTGTGTGTGTGAGACAACATTCCTCGAGAGGGAACTAAGATTAGAAGGCGCATTATAAATAACGGTCGTCTCACCTCCCTAATAAATCAACATTCCTCTTTACTCACCGGTTATACACGAGTCTTGTCACGTAGGAATCCTTTTGGATTCATTAATAAAATACATTCATTCATAACAGAACATCTGCAACTGTTTATGTTTATTTATAATGAAAGATGTCACCCCTTAACGCTCCTCCACGTCATGAAATTTAATATCTGTCGTCATTAATTTCAAGAGCCTTGATTGGCAGCGAATGTCTGACGTCATTATTTTGAAGAGCCTTGATTGGCAGCGAATGTTTGACGTCATTATTTTGAAGAGACTTGATTTGCAGCGAATATCTGACGTCATTATTTTGAAGAGCCTTGATTGGCAGCGAATGTGTTACGTCATTATTTTGAAGAGCCTTGGTTGGCGGCGAATGTCTGACGTCATTATTTCGAACGACGTCATTAATTTGATGGACTTTTATTGGCAGCAAATATTTGTCATCATTTATTTCAAGATTGATAAAAATGTCTGAAGTCATAAATTCCAACGTTTAATTAGTGGCAACTTTAATTCGGTATGAAACTCCATTTGAAATGCTATGAATATATATATATATATATAGTATATATATATATATATATATATATATATATATATATATATATATATATATATATATATATATATATATATATATATATATATATATATATATATATATATATATGTCGTACCTAGTAGCCAGAATGCACTTCTCAGCCTACTATGCAAGGCCCGATTTGCCTAGTAAGCCAAGTTTTCATGAATTAATTGTTTTTCGACTACCTAACCTACCTAACCGAACCTAACCTAACTTTTTCGGCCACCTAACCTAACCTATCCTACTAAGATAGGTTAGGTTAGGTTAGGTAGGGTTGGTTAGGTTCGATCGTAGTTCTACTTTAATTTTAACTCCAATAAAAACAAATTGACCTCATACATAATGAAATGGGTAGCTTTATCATTTCATAAGAAAAAAATTAGAGAAAATATATTAATTCAGGAAAACTTGGCTTATTAGGCAAATCAGGCCTTGCATAGTAGGGTGAGAAGTGCGTTCTGGCTACTAGGTACGACATATATATATATATATATATATATATATATATATATATATATATATATATATATATATATATGTCGTACCTAGTAGCCAGAACTCACTTCTCAGCCTACTATGCATTGCCCGATTTGCCTAATAAGCCAAGTTTTCCTGAATTAATATATTTTCTCTAAATTTTTTCTTATAAAATGATAAAGCTACCCATTTCATTATGTATGAGGTCAATTTTTTTTCATTGGAGTTAAAATTAACGTAGATATATGACCGAACCTAACCAACCCTACCTAACCTAACCTAACCTATCTCTATAGGTTAGGTTGGGTTATGTTGCCGAAAAAGTTAGGTTAGGTTAGGTTAGGTAGGTTCGGTAGTCGAAAAACAATTTATTCATGAAAACTTGGCTTATTAGGTAAATCGGGCCTTGCATAGTAGGCTGAGAAGTGAGTTCTGGCTACTAGGTACGACATATATATATATATATATATATATATATATGTCGTACCTAGTAGCCAGAACTCACTTTTTGGCCTACTATTCAAGGCCCGATTTGCCTAATAAGCCAAGTTTTCCTGAATTAATATATTTATTCAAATTTTTTTCTCATGAAATGATAAAGCAACCCATTTCATTATGTATGAGGTCAATTTTTTTTTTATTGGAGCTAAAATTAACGTAGATATATGACCGAACCTAACCAACCCTACCTAACCTAACCTAACCTATCTTAATAGGTTAGGTTTGGTTAGGTAGCCGAAAAAGTTAGGTTAGGTTAGGTTAGGTAGGTTAGGTAGTCGAAAAACAATTAATTCATGAAAAGTTGGCTTATTATGCAAATCGGGCCTTGCATAGTAGGCTGAGAAGTGCGTTCTGGCTACTAGGTACGACATATATATATATATATATATATATATATATATATATATATATATATATATATATATATATATATGACAAAATATAACTTGCTTTACACTGGTAAATACATATATGAAGCTTATTTTTTTAATTACTTAAAATTAATTTAAATTTATAAAAAACTTAATTCATTTTTAATTATTTAATTTAATATCCTGATGCAAATATTTTCATTTTTTCCAGATGATTATTGTGGACGACCGCGATCCTGATGGAGGTATGTTGTGTCAGCCACAGTGTTTATGTTGTGTCAGCCACAGTGTTTATGTTGTGTCAGCCACAGTGTTTATGTTGTGTCAGACAGAGTGTTTATGTTGTGTCAGCCACAGTGTTTATGTTGTGTCAGCCACAGTGTTTATGTTGTGTCAGCCTCAGTGTTTATGTTGTGTCAGACAGAGTGTTTATGTTGTGTCAGCCACAGTGTTTATGTTGTGTCAGCCACAGTGTTTATGTTGTGTCAGCCACAGTGTTTATGTTGTGTCAGACAGAGTGTTTATGTTGTGTCAGCCACAGTGTTTATGTTGTGTCAGCCACAGTGTTTATGTTGTGTCAGCCACAGTGTTTATGTTGTGTCAGCCACAGTGTTTATGTTGTGTCAGTGTTTATGTTGTGTCAGACAGAGTGTTTATGTTGTGTCAGCCACAGTGTTTATGTTGTGTCAGCCAGAGTGTTTATGTTGTGTCAGCCACAGTGTTTATGTTGTGTCAGACAGAGTGTTTATGTTGTGTCAGCCAGAGTGTTTATGTTGTGTCAAGTGTTTATGTTGTGTCAGCCACAGTGTTTATGTTGTGTCAGCCACAGTGTTTATGTTGTGTCAGTTTATGTTGTGTCACAGTGTTTATGTTGTGTCAGCCAGAGTGTTTATGTTGTGTCAGCCAGAGTGTTTATGTTGTGTCAGCCACAGTGTTTATGGTGTGTCAGACAGAGTGTTTATGTTGTGTCAGCCAGAGTGTTTATGTTGTGTCAGCCTCAGTGTTTATGTTGTGTCAGCCACAGTGTTTATGTTGTGTCAGCCACAGTGTTTATGTTGTGTCAGCCACAGTGTTTATGTTGTGTCAGCCACAGTGTTTATGTTGTGTCAGCCACAGTGTTATGTTGTGTCAGCCACAGTGTTTATGTTGTGTCAGCCACAGTGTTTATGTTGTGTCAGCCACAGTGTTTATGTTGTGTCAGCCACAGTGTTTATGTTGTGTCAGCCACAGTGTTTATGTTGTGTCAGCCACAGTGTTTATGTTGTGTCAGCCACAGTGTTTATGTTGTGTCAGCCACAGTGTTTATGTTGTGTCAGCCACAGTGTTTATGTTGTGTCAGCCACAGTGTGTATGTTGTGTCAGCCACAGTGTTTATGTTGTGTCAGCCACAGTGTTTATGTTGTGTCAGCCACAGTGTTTATGTTGTGTCAGCCACAGTGTTTATGTTGTGTCAGACAGAGTGTTTATGTTGTGTCAGCCACAGTGTGTATGTTGTGTCAGCCACAGTGTTTATGTTGTGTCAGCCACAGTGTTTATGTTGTGTCAGCCTCAGTGTTTTTGTTGTGTCAGCCACAGTGTTTATGTTGTGTCAGCCACAGTGTTTATGTTGTGTCAGCCTCAGTGTTTTTGTTGTGTCAGCCACAGTGTTTATGTTGTGTCAGCCACAGTGTTTATGTTGTGTCAGCCACAGTGTGTATGTTGTGTCAGCCACAGTGTTTATGTTGTGTCAGCCACAGTGTTTATGTTGTGTCAGCCACAGTGTGTATGTTGTGTCAGCCACAGTGTGTATGTTGTGTCAGCCACAGTGTTTATGTTGTGTCAGCCTCAGTATTTATGTTGTGTCAGCCACAGTGTTTATGTTGTGTCAGCCACAGTGTGTATGTTGTGTCAGCCACAGTGTTTATGTTGTGTCAGCCACAGTGTGTATGTTGTGTCAGCCACAGTGTTTATGTTGTGTCAGCCACAGTGTGTATGTTGTGTCAGCCACAGTGTTTATGTTGTGTCAACCACAGTGTTTATGTTGTGTCAGCCTCAGTGTTTATGTTGTGTCAGCCACAGTGTTTATGTTGTGTCAGCCACAGTGTTTATGTTGTGTCAGCCAGTGTGTATGTTGTGTCAGCCACAGTGTGTATGTTGTGTCAGCCACAGTGTTTATGTTGTGTCAGCCAGTGTTTATGTTGTGTCAGCCTCAGTGTTTATGTTGTGTCAGCCACAGTGTTTATGTTGTGTCAGCCACAGTGTGTATGTTGTGTCAGCCACAGTGTTTATGTTGTGTCAGCCACAGTGTGTATGTTGTGTCAGCCACAGTGTTTATGTTGTGTCAGCCACAGTGTGTATGTTGTGTCAGCCACAGTGTTTATGTTGTGTCAGCCACAGTGTGTATGTTGTGTCAGCCACAGTGTTTATGTTGTGTCAGCCACAGTGTTTATGTTGTGTCAGCCTCAGTGTTTATGTTGTGTCAGCCACAGTGTTTATGTTGTGTCAGCCATAGTGTTTATGTTGTGTCAGCCACAGTGTGTATGTTGTGTCAGCCACAGTGTGTATGTTGTGTCAGCCACAGTGTTTATGTTGTGACAGCCACAGTGTTTATGTTGTGTCAGCCACAGTGTTTATGTTGTGTCAGCCACAGTGTGTATGTTGTGTCAGCCACAGTGTGTATGTTGTGTCAGCCACAGTGTTTATGTTGTGTCAGCCTCAGTGTTTATGTTGTGTCAGCCTCAGTGTTTATGTTGTGTCAGCCACAGTGTCTATGTTGTGTCAGCCACAGTGTTTATATTGTGTCAGCCTCAGTGTTTATATTGTGTCAGCCACAGTGTTTATGTTGTGTCAGCCACAGTGTCTATGTTGTGTCAGCCACAGTGTTTATATTGTGTCAGCCCCAGTGTTTATATTGTGTCAGCCACAGTGTTTATGTTGTGTCAGCCTCAGTGTTTATGTTGTATAGTATGGGGGGGGGGAGACTGACGCTCACACACACAAACCGATACAAACAATGATAAAATTATGTGTTTGTTATTCCCTGAGTAACAAACACATAAACAAATCAGTGACAGGTTTAAACTCTAATCATATACCCTTAGGTACGGTGTTATAAGAGAATCATATAAATTATACTCCTCTTAGGATACAGAATTCTGTGTTAGGCTATTTTACAATCTACACCAAGTATATTATAAATTGTTGTGCTATATTATAAAATGTGTGGGATAAATAATATAGTGTAGCTCGACTATAATGTATAACAAAATTTATAGTAAAATTTGTTCTTAAAAGTCGGTAAAATTTATGATAAAATTTGGCCCATAAATACCAGGGCGATTTGTTTGTAAACACTGATGACGTCACACATCAGCTGATACAGTTTACCCCCCCCCCCCCCCACCAGAGCTGCCGCCCCCCTTCCCCCCCAGGAACATCCAGGTCAAGGAAGATGTGGACATGCGCAAGTTCTTCGATCTCAAGAAAGAGATAGGAAGGTGAGTCATTTTCTTCATTGTCCTCTTATTTTCGGTTCATTTTCATCCATTTGCCTTCCTAGTTCAGATGTATTAACATAGATTTCTTATTTAACTTCTATGATCTTCTTTAATTTTCTCTTATTATCTCTCAATTTTATCTTAAGTCCTTTCCCTGAAAGTCATTTTCACTTCTATGACGATTGGCCTTAGTTCTGTTAATTAGTAATTTCATTGTCAACTTTTTCACTTCTATGACGATTTGCCTTAGTTCCCTTAATTAGTAATTTCATTGTCATCATCATTCAACATTTTCTCCCTCACTGTCACTTCACTACATTCACCGTCACAATAAAAATCACACCCATGATCACAACTACTGCTAACTTCACTATCAACATTATTATCACCATCACAATCACTATCATCATTATTAGCAATAATTGGTAACGAGAGAGTACTAAGGTGAAAATAATTCATCAAATTGTTTAATAACGGTTAAACAGTGAATGGCGGCTGAACAGTGAATGACGGCTGAACAGTGAATGACGGCTGAACAGTGAATGACGGCTGAACAGTGAATGACGGCTGAACAGTGAATGACGGCTGAACAGTGAATGACGGCTGAACAGTGAATGACGGCTGAATAACGAATGACGCCTCAAACAGTGAAACATGCTAACAAATAAATACCGTAATAAAACAGTGAAATACACAGAAAACACTGCCAAATGAGCTCTAGAACAACATATGGATTACGTTAACGCTATATGAACCAAAGCAGTGAAGGACATCAAATTACTGAATATCGCCAAGAACAATGAATAAAGCAAAAACTGACAACATGTAGAATTAATGGCACCAGAGAAGAGAATGATGCCAGTAAAGTGAGTAATCTCAAAACTACCGAACGCCAGAATAACTAAACAAAGCCATAAAACATGACGTCAAGACAATATTAGTAAATAATGAGTACTACTAAAACAATAAAGTGAAGCCAACATAGTCAACGATGCCAATATAAGCGAAAGATACACATACAGCAATAGACCAAAACATTGGTTGGCGCCAAAAAAATTTGAGCGGCGCCTTATGCTGATTTTGCCGCCAAAATTGCGAATGGCTCTTACTCTATTCCCAACCTCCTTCTTCCCCCAAAAAATTAGTGATGCACTCCCAGACCATGAATGCCGCATGAATGATTCACTAAAAACTACTTCACAGAATACAAAACAGCTAACAACATTCTACGCCAATATATGTACGATTACTTTTACGAACTTACGTCAAAATTACGCGCCACCAAAATAATGCATGATGCTATTCCGTTTCCCAACATAATTGTACATCCTAAAATGCTGACCGAAGTTCCTCTAGCCAAGGAGGAGCCTGTCCGCGCAGACACCCTACCAGTTGCTGGCCAGACCCAACAGTATTTAACGGCGTGAGGAAGCGACGCGCACATCACCCAGCGAGCCATTGGCACCGCGGGACCACGTGACAATGTTGACATTGTCGGTACGCAATTTTTCCTATCGTCTGCTCGGTGGCAGCTGCCGCTAATGGCATTCTTACTTCTCACTGACACATCTCTGGTCAGCACATTCCCTCACTCGACCTCCACAATGACACATCTCTGGCCAGTACACTCCCTCACTCGACCTATATGCTGACACATCTTCAGGTCAGCACACTCCTCTCACCCAACCTTCACGCTAACACATCTCTGGTCAGCACATTTCCTCACACTCTCCATATATACACCTCTTCTCTTTATCTATCTACTGAAACGCCATCTATTTTTTTTCAGAAAGTTTTAGATGTCTCTGTATTTAGATGTATAAATTTTAAGTGCCTGATTATCTAATACACACTAGGCTACGAGCACCACTGGGCCCACCTAAGCCAGCTCACTATGGTAAGAATATCAATGTGACCTAAAGGTAAATCACACCAGGTTAGTTTAAACAAGACACGCAGTTAACTTAGATCCGGGCACGCGATTTTTTTATTGATTGTTGCCGCCGAAGGCGGTTAGCACAAAAGCATTACAGAGGGCACAAAAGGTCTTTATCAGACCTCATCCCGGACACGCGGTTAACTTAGATCCGGACACGCGGTTAACTTAGATCCGGACACGCAATTAACTTAGCTGGAGCGTTTGAGTGGTGGTAAGATTCCCGGACCATTTTAGACACATTATCCCAGCCCCGGACCTTGAAATAGTTAAAGGTCATTATTCCGGCATCCGACTAATGTCAATTAGCTGCAGTATGTGTGCAAGCATTCATGTGTGCGTGTGTGCGTGCGTGTGTGCGTATATGTGTGTGCACTTGGCGGCCTCCTCTCTACAAACACACAAGACCAACACAACACGGTTGTAAGTTGGTTGACTCATCACACCTGTGATGAGTTAGTTGACTACAACTCATCACAGATGTTATTTCAGGAGCCCGGGTGCCATCTCCCGGGTACACGGCTCTCAACCCCTCCACCCGCTCTCTACATTTACTAACATCTACGTCAAGTAATTGACCTCATTTTTTTATATTGAATACCTCATAATAATAATAATAAAGCCTACTAAATATTAGAAGCATCGGGCCAAGGCAACCGCTGCCTAACATAACTTATTTTCTATATAACTCACCAAGCACACAACTCCTTCCTCATGCTTCTTTAAGATGAAAATGCATATCACATGTCAAATTATATCATCAATAATTAATATACTGACAGGTAGAGTGCGGTTATAAGAGATAAAAGTGATTTATAGTTATGTAATGTCTTTATGTGGTAATGTTGCCAAGGTAGGCTGGTTGTGAGTTAGTTTTGGCAGGCGTGTGGATATAGGTTATTATATCACTGTATTAATCCCATTTCTAAGTCAATACTGACCTATCCTATATCCCCTTATTGACCTGACGAGCTCCAGAAGTGTGCACTCCAAATGTCAACAAACTTATGATACGTTTGAAGTGATATGTTAAATAATATTAAATTATTGAACGTCAGTCATATAGATTATATAAATGCGTGCACTAGGCTAGGATAACTAAGCGGTAGGTTTGAACACAGTCATACAAGGGGTTTGAATTTCATCAACATTAGGAAAGGAGATCATGTAAGGATTCCAAAGACTTGGGATATCGTCAGTAAAAGGATAAGGCATCGTTCTGGGAGTGAATATTAGGTTAAGCTAGGAGTGCTTCAGCGTGCTAGGCTATAATATACAACTTCTACGATATAATACAGAAATAAGTATTACTGTATTTATTATCAGCTTAAATACTCTAAACATAAAGAAGTTGTTTCCAAAGCAGCGATGTATATACTATATTGTCTTGTTAAAAGCATCATCTTAATATATTACTGAAATTCATAAATATATATATATATATATATATATATATATATATATATATATATATATATATATATATATATATATATATATATATATATATATATATATATATATATATATATATATATATATATATATATATATATATATATATATATATGACATTTCTGACACGCTAACCACGAGTATATTTAATTGTTTTTATATAAAATATGAAGTAGTGCAAAGGAAATATAGCAGACAATCTTGATTATCGCTCCAGAAGCTGCCTATAAATCACAGCTTTCAACACATCTTGCAAATTGGCTCAACAATTTGGGGTCAACAGCCAGGAACTGGGCGACTCTTTCCTCAGCTTTTAATGTGGTCGAAAAGCATTCTTTTTCAGTTGGATAAATAGGTAATTTTTATTTAAAATCATTTTTATTTGTAAGTTATTTGTTTAACTTATTTATAAAATAAATTATTTTTATTTAATGAGTGTATGTTACACACTCACACATTAGAAAACAACTTGTTCAGAGTCAAAGTAGTTAACAAATGGAATACACTAGTCAGTGGTAGGGGAAAATTCCTTACACAGTTTCAAAGGTAGATATGATAGAGCCCAATAGGCTCAGGAACCTGTACACTATTTTGATTGATGGTTTAGAAGGACCAAAGAGCTAAAGCTCAACCCCCGCAAGCACAACTAGGTGAGCACACACACACAAACACAAGGAGGCGCTGGTGGCTGAGTGGACAGCACGCTGGATACGTAATCCTGTGGTCCGGGGTTCGATTCCCGTCGCCGGCGGAAACAGATGGGCAGTTTTTCACCCTGATGCCCCCTGTTACCTAGCAGTAAATAGGTACCTGGGAGTTAGACAGCTGTTACGGGTTGCTTCCTGGGGGTGTGTGTGGAAAAAAAATAGTAGTTGGTAACAGCTGATTGATTGACAGTTGAGAGGCGGGCCAAAAGAGCAGAGCTCAACCCCCGCAAACACAACTAGATGAATTCACACACACAAAAGCCTCGTGGCTGAGTGGATAGGGCTCTGGGTGTCATAGTCCTAATGGCCCAGGTTGGATTCCCGGCGGAAGTGGAAACAAATAGGCAATTTTTCCCCCCTGATACCCCTGTTCACCTAGCAGTACCTGGGAGTTAGACAGCTGCTTCGGGCTGCTTCCTGGGGATATGAATGTGTGCGCGTGTGTGTGTTAGAAAGAAATATGTAGCAGATATAATAGAGGACAAATAGTTTGCTTAGAAAAGCGAGGGTCTATGAGCTAATGGCTCGATTTTGTATTTACACAAACAGTCAAATACAGACAGAGACGCGCGCGGACTAAGGAGAGAATCTCAACGAGTCCTGACTTGACAAAAGTTATCACAGTAGGTGACCTAGAGCCAAGGAACATTCACTTGACTCGTCCCAGTTACCTTTCTCCTGTCACAAGTCGAGCGACCAAGACGAGGCGAGTATGCCAGTGTGACCAGTAAATATAGCTCAAGATAACTCACCTTCAGTGTGGTTTTTGACTTTGGGTCAATAGTTAGAGTAATGGGGGGGGGGGGCGGGGAGGTTGTTTAGTGGGAGTTAGGTCACTCACAGTTATGTTAACGCGGTTTTTATATTATGATGAAGACTCGCCCGTTTGTTCTTTCTGCCTT